ATAATGTAATCCACTGAAAATAATTCACTAGAAATAGAAAAAATAGAAATTCACTTTTACATGGATACCCACTTCCGCCCCAGCCCGGGGTTGAACTCTCGACCTACGGATTCTGTCTCCTAGCAGTGCAGGAACCGGGCTGGGGCGGAAGTCGGTATCCATGTAAAAGTGAATTTCTTTGCGCTTCCTATATTTATATTTCTTCACTTAGGGCAGTTATGTTAGTTGAAGAGTTGTTGTGTAAATTGTGCTTGCCAGCGCCGCGAGAAGTCCATCGGCCTCGAAAGCAAGATTTTTGACTTGCCTGGGTATCCATGTAAAAGTGAATTTCTTTGTGCTTTCTTTATATATCATTATATTATTATTGTTACACTATGAAGAGCCGTTGTAACGTTGAATTTTGACCCGAGGTGAAAAATGACCCGGGGGTCATTTTTCAACGTTGAATAGTGAGACCAAAGGTGTTGAATTTAGACCCTAGTCCGTTGAATATATATATATAGTTAATTCTCGATAAACCGTCACCTTTTGTAATTTAGAAATCATGGTGGTATATTCAAGAAATGTTAAGATCTATTAAGCATATTTTCTTGCGACAAGGCTATTTATTTATGTGCTCGATGTTAAACATACAAACCCTGTACTTAAAAATATGTAAGAACTGATTCAATACATTCTCTGTTTAATTAATGAATAATTGCACTTTACAGGTTTAATGGGTATTAACTCTCTAGCTTAAATATGTAAATAATATTCTGTTAAATCGTAAAAGGCATTTTCACTGTAAAAAAAATTGATCTTCCTCTTACAGCACGAAGTTCAATGCAATCAAATGAACCAGTGACTTGTTTATAACCTGCTAGGTGGGATTTAATTATAACAAGCAAAAAACTTAACGCATTGATCAGTTTTGATGTTTTTTTTTTATTACACTCAGTTTAAAATTGCACGATTTCATTTTCGGGTATTATGAGAAATAGTTTTTGTGTAATTCCACAGTAAACCTTTCCCGTAAGATTAAGCCCCGCCCTCTTTATGCAGCCTTTACAATGCTGAGAAAAAAGACATTTGGTAGACTATTAACTGGATCCACAATATATTTTTGTATGGATTTTTATACAGTTTATGAATCCAATGTAGATATGCGCAGGTATATTAAAGTTACAACCAAATATTCTACTTGCCTATATGATATGACGTCATAGTAAGCTATATGACGTGAAGTTTAGAGATGACAATTTCTTAAAATCGATATCTAAAATTGATTCGGGGTCGTAAAAAAATGAATCAAAATACGCAGAGGCATAATAAAAAACGGAATTTTGTCGTTTCTGGGTCTTTTATGTTTCACAGGGGTTAAATTCCAAACCCGTGACGTCATAACTGTTGATCATGCAGTAGCAGAGTGAAAGTGAAACGTAACAAGATTTCATGTAAAAAAAACACAAGAAATCGGAGTTTAAAAGCATTTGTAATGAATATCATGTTTGATTCATGTGGGAATAAACCTTATGCTAATATATTTCTACAAATTATTCGTAAAATAAAATCAGACAGGGTGTTTTCTTGCCGATCAGCCTTTCCTCTGTCGTTCGTAACAAAAAAGATGCAAAAGTTCAAAACTACGCCGCATACTTTGAAACTTAATTTTTGTTTCTATCTAAAGTTCTTATTCTATTGATTTTGGAAAGTGCTGCTAGAATCGTATGGTTTACGGGGATCAATGTGATTTTTCCGATCTTACGAACCAAATGTAAAAATTTTGGGAAGGTTTCGTCCGAAAGTGCTGAATAATTATTTCTGTGATAGGACAGTAGGATTCTAGCAGCACTTTTCATGGTACAGAGATGTTTTAACATAACTATTATTACAAATTGAAATTAATTATCCCTGGGGTAGTGTTGAACTTTTCACTTTTTCATTAAGGCATTTTTTCTAATTATAGACGTCACGTGGTGACGTCGTGGTGAAGTGCTTCCTGTAGTATAAGACCCATTGAAGTCTATAGAATGCATAATGATAGCAAAAGTTTTATCCATGACTTTTCCGATTTATTAGTGTTACATATTATTTAAAAAAGTGTTAATTCGCCGAATTCTGATCCGTGTGCTGCCTTAACAAACCTGCGTGGTAATTCAAATTCATTTTTGTTGTTCGGAGGAAAGCATTTATTTACCCAAAGTTGTAACAAATTTAGTAATTAGTGATCATTTATATCGGATTAATTCAAAAAATAAAAAAATCATGTAATTAAAATCATGGCAGGTTTAAGCTAGGTAAATAAAAAAATAATGTAAGTGTGGATTGAATAATTATCTTTAAATTCAAACAGATCGCAGTCTAAAGAAGTGGATATGTAAGAGGTGAACATTCATTTCTCTACAGATGTAAAAAAAAAAAAATCCCCATTAGCAATTAGTTTTCATACATATTAGATTCAAAAAGGTTACATCATGGAATCGTAATTGCATAGACAAGAACAAGTAATTAGTGAACAAAAAAGCAAACAAAGAGAAAAGATTATGAGTTTGAGTGCTCATTATACTGTTAGGAAGATTGTTTTTGATTGTGCAGAATTTAAGAGCATTTATAATTAAGTCAATAACATCGTATTGCCAAAGAGACACAAACTAAAGTAGATAAAGATGTCATTTTGCGTATTTGATGTTAAGAGATCCAGAAATCTTAATCTACCAATAAATCAATTAATACATAGTGTAGAATAGTTAGTGTTCAACAACACAAATATAAAACGCCAAAAAATGCAAGCAATTGAATACATATGTCTTAATTCAAATTACCATTCAGGAAGCATTCATCTTACTCTTTTACCCCAAAACATATAACTCTACTAAATAAGTATTATATAAGGAGAATTATGCAACCTTAAATCAATGTAAATCTACACTTATCAGCACATGTATTAAGGACACTGATGCATATAAATTCTCTCTCTCTCTCTCTCTCTCTCTCGATCGATCGATCGATCGATCGACGAATTGAACATGCTTTATCTGTTAGGACAATATCAAGATGTTTATGCTTTAAGGAATGAAAACAAAATTATCTGAAATCGTTTTGCCTCAATTAATGATTAAGTGTCTCAAATGACCCCTTAAATTGAATGTCTTTGTTTTACTTTATATATAGTTTTCATTTGCACAACTATACATGTGACCTTAATTGGTATTTTGCAATTTGATCAAATTGTTATTAGTTTAGAAATATGACATAATAGAGTTCCCGTTTTCCCGTTATTATAGCATAATGTGTATAAAACTTCTTATTTCCCAGCGGTTTTCCTTTCAGAAAATATTGAGCGCAGACTAAAGCAAACTTAATATTTTTACCAGAGATGTATTCGTACAAAGCCTATGAGTGCATATAAATGTAAAAATGTATTGGAAATATTTTCAATGAAATCGCTTCTACAAAATAAAAATCAATTATTCATATATGAATATTATTCTAAATAGTTGCCTTTAAGGGGAACAAAAATGACTTTTAACATATACAGTTATTGTCTTATCAAGGAGTTTTTGAGAAGCATATGTTGGATTAGTATTCACACAGTATGACTCAGACTCGCAGAGAAAGTAAGGGTCTGTGTGCATATTTCTGAGCTACGGCACAATTGTGTTGACCATTATGCAGAGTTTAGATCAAAACTTTAATCTTTATCATATTGTTTCAGATGTAACCATAGCAATAAATGTTATCTTATTTTACGTAAAATAGTATGAATAATATTAATCATTGAACATATTAAGCAAATTAAGGCGCGTAAATTATTGTGTTACCTTTTTGCACTACAAATAACATATTTTGGGTATTAAAAATCTAAATAGGCAATAAATCATTTTCTTGATCAAACTTTTTTACGACTTAAGTGCTGATCAGTCACAGATATCGAGTAGTTTAAAATAATGTAATAAAAAAATTATTTTGAAATATTGGTCAAAATATGTGATTTTAATTTGGACGGTGTAAATTATATCTTAAAGCAATATGGGCTGCAACTTTGATTCATGAAGTTTCGCATGAATCTGAAATTAAAACAAAATTTCGATTAAAATATAGTTACGGAAGTTAACGTTACGGAAGTTAATTTCCGAGCAATAAGAGTTAAATTCTCGGCGGCGATAGCTGAAGAAAAAACTTTTTTTTTTCGTATATTAAAAAGAAGGATGAAGCATCTCGCTCCGACAATAATAAAAAGAAATGTATACCTTTAATCCAAAAACTTTCCTGAAATACCCTTACGGAAGTTAAATTTTGAAGAGAGACAACAATTTCTCTGTAATTCTTTTTTATTGTTTCTAAAACATGATCATCTTGAATAGTTGACTCTCTACTAGAATCAAATATTTAAGGTTCCATGGTCACTTTCAGAAAAGTTTCAGTTCTTTTTGAAATCTGCATTCTGTTCGTGAAATAAAAAATATGATTACGGAAGTGAATCAATTTCTAGCGACACGCAATGATTTCCTATGAAAGAAGATTTATGCATTGCGAGAAGTGGTTTGATTTCATTTTATACAGGATAAAAACATTTTTTAACATTCATTGCAATTTGTTTGGGACTCTTTTACGGCTGAGAATTCCATCTTGTAATTGTAAATAAATGAAGCGACATGAAGATTTGTGGTTGAATTCGTTTTTGAACATTACATTATTTTCTTATCGAAACTTTAATTGCATATATATATATAGGTAAATATTTACAATCCATGTGTGTAGGTTGAGACCTGCGGTTAAAATCGATCATCAAATTTATAGTCAAGATATTAGAACGGTATATTTGTAAACGACGTAGAGGAATCTTAATTGGTCGTATTTTTGTAGAATGAATGATTTTCATTTATCAGTTTTTGTAAAGAAGAACGAAATATTTCTAATTTCAAATTTATTGCAACACTTATAATGTACATCTTTTACTGAATACATTCATTAGCAAACAATTTTAAAAAATATTGCTTTAAAGAAGAGTTCAGCCCTCTCTTCGCCGAAAGCATATCTGTTTACATGTTTTGTCACTTGAAGTCAAATATTATTTAAAAAGGAACTTCCTGATGAAAAATCAATTTTAAATTGTCTCTTGTATCTTAAACGATTGTGGTTGATTGGTGGTTCCTGTAAAAAAAAGAAAAGAAACAAATTAAAACTTAACACAAATACATGTTTGAGCATATTTTTTCTTTTCAAAATCTCTTATAGCAATTAGAAATTTTCACAGAAATAACCAAAATAAATGTTACTATGATTTATGATTAAATGAGGTTTACCTAGTGACGTCTGCTCATCATCGTTGTACCTCTTATAGATGACCCATCTCTTACTGTAGGGTACCATGGTTGGTTGGATGAGGACCAGGGACCGTTGAGTAAGCCGAAGTAACATCTATTATACCACCACCCAGCTCCCCAGTCAACAGCACAGTTACCAGTCCTCCACCCGTCGTTATCCCTCTCAGGGGTGGAGAATGACATCCCTGACAGATCTTTGTCAGGTTTACCATAACTCCCAGTATCTAACATACTGTCTCCTATAGAAGTAAGGAAAATATATCACAAAGATAAGTAATTAAATAACATCACAACATAATATCATTCTCAATACTAAAGTACTTCTATTTTCTTTGAACATCAAGCTTTGATAAAAATGTCGAAATTACATATCAATGGCGCACCGTATGCTTTTTATTCAGTTGTGGTTTAAAATTGGAATTTTTGAAAATCTTTAAGTTACCTAAGTTAAATAACAACGGCGGATCAATGTGTGTTACTAAATATCACTACTGGCTTTTAAAACCCCTGTCCGTATGAAAATCCCCTGTCTTTCTCTGTATCCTACAGCATATTCACAGTAATCTACGGTATATCCACAGTATGCTACGGTGTGCCAGCTCTGTATATACAGTAGATCTCTGTATGCCATTGTGTGTATTCCCAGCATGCCACAGTTACATACAGTAGGCCCTGATACGCTTACAGTATGCCACTGTATGGCTACTGTTTCCTACAGACAACTACGGTAAACCTCAGTATATGCCCCAGTACGCCCTTGTATATGTACATTGAAGCAAAAAGAAGAAGTTTACACACTCCCAGAGCACTGTACGGTTACCTTAGATGTGTGATGATCGAGTTACTTACCTAAGAAATTTTTCAACAATATTTTAAACACATAGTAATTTTTTTTTAATTTGTTAGGAGACTTATTGAGTTCTTTTATAACTCTGAAATAACGCTGAAAAATTAATAAATCATTGCTTTAAAAAATATTCATCTATCTATTTTTATTCATAAATTATTTAATTATTTTATTATTATTTATTTTTTTTTTTTTTGGAAACACCTGTTTAATCCATAAAATACTTGGATTGAATTTATACCTTTCGTGAAAAAAAAAACACAGCCGAGGTAATGCTGCATTTTGAAAATTCTTTTTTTTTTTAATTTATTGATGTTCTTTAAAAAAATTAATCTGATTAATTGCATGTAGTAAATCATTGCATAATTAAGGTCTTCCGTCTTCACGGAAGACCTTCTAGTGATTCTACTGTTTCTTATTATTATTATTATTTTTTTTTTCCCCCAAAATTTTGTGCAGGCGATTTCTCAAAAACTATTTAGTGGTTTTCAGTGAAACTTTCAGGAATTATGTGTCATTATATGAAGTTGTGGCATGACAAGAAAAATTTGGAATACTCACCTTCGGTTCCAAGATATTGACAGTTTTCTGATTTTAAAATGGATTTTTGTTCCCCCTTTTTTTCAAAAATGGCTGAAGATATTAACTGGAGACTTATTAGAGATGATAGAAGAAGACTTCTAGATATGCGGAATCACCTTTTCGTGCGTCGTTATTACTTCCGGTTGCTTTCGAAAGTGAAATTAAAATGTTCATATTTTCTAACTTTTTGTTTTTCAATATTTTTCATTTATTTTTGGAATGTTAATAGAAACCTTTCTTTTAATGCTTACTGTATAATTTGTTTGAATATTGATAAATCCAAACTCTAGATATTAGCATTTAAAAATCTGAAGCGGGTCCAAAATGGCGGCTGTCTCTGTCAACTCCGACATTGCGCAAGTCAGAGTCAACCGAGCGTTTAGTTATACGGAAGTAACCTAAGGATAAATGAAATGTAAAGGAAAACTTGGATTGTCACGTCGTAGTTACGATGCAATTCTCTGTCAAACTAAGTTTTAATCCATAGTTGTCTCAAACGTCTTCTGTAATTAGCTTTGGCTGGTTCTCAGAGAAGAAAGAGAAAAGACTAAATGTGATAATGTAATACGATGCCTAATATATTTTGCTTTTTGCGGAAAATCAGATTTTAAATCATAGTTATAAGTAAATGTTTTTAAGAAACAATATAGATGTATATAGTAAGTATCAAACGCGTAACCACTGTTTTGCTCATGCACACTTCTGTCATATTAAACAGATAGAAAAGACAATTGTAAGAAAACATTTTTAAAAAAAAGATCGTTCAATGGAGTTTATATTAACATTATTGTATCAAGATCTGATTTATGTTATTGAACATAAATATAATAGGGCAGATGTACTGTTGCAGAAGTATGTACAAGTACATTTAGATCTTTGGTCCCAATAGTGTAGTAGTAAGCTTTTTGGATTTTCACGCTGGCGACTCGGGTTCAATCCACTTCGTTTCCATAAAAAGTTTTATCACTTTTTTCAGCTCGTTTTTGTGTTGTTTTTTTTTTCATAATCGAACGGAAGACCTCTCGTTGCTCACAACGAGTTTCTTTTCTAGTTTTTTTTTTCTTATTTTTAAATTGAATACACAACAAAATTATTAATTGTATACCCTAAAGTTGGATTTATTTGGCTTATTTTGTGTAACAATTTTACGCTAAAATGTCTCTCAAAGTCTTTTTGAAGCATACATAAACTACTTTTAATTATTTTACTTCCGTGTTGGATATCAAAATAATCGTCTCATTATGCACAATCTAAACCCGTCAATAGCTTTTTTGATACTTTTATTTTGTTTTGTTTGACAAAAATCGGTTCTCATGCAAAGAGAAATGTTATTTCAAACAGCTGCAGAGTGGACACGGTCGCTCTCTGCCACAAAATAAACAAGGCACAGTGGTCAGTGAAAAAGACAATAGGTGTCATTACTGTGTACCCCGTGTCACTGGTAAACAATCAATGGCTTTGAAGTTTTTTTCATAATCGTGTTAGGATTTTGAAAACCGATTTTTTTAAAATCAAAACAAAGTAAAAATATGAAACTGCAATTGACAAATTAAAATTGTGCATAATGTGAGATTATTTTGATATCCATCATGAACGTAAAATAATTGAAATTTGTTTTAATATGCTTAAAAATTCTTTGTAGCATATTTTTGGGATATATGATTTTATACAAAATAAAGCTAAAAAAAATCAAGGTGGGGGGGGGGGTATATATACCAGTAATTGATTACTTTGTTGTCTTGTCAATTACAAAAATAAATAAATTATTTTTTTTATTTATGTTGTTTATTTATGTCTTTGTTGATAAATTTATAAACAGAATAAATAAACTAGATGTTAAACTCGTTGCGAGCAACGAGAGGTCTTCCGTCCGATTCCGGAAAGAAAAAGTAAAATCGAGCTGACAAAAGTAAAAAAAAAAAAAAAAAAAGATTTGCACACAAGGGGATTGATAATGAAATTCCAACGCACTAAATATAACGCTATCGGGACCTCTACTCTAAATCTACTTGTATATATTCACGAAACAGTGCTTCTCTCTTAAAATTATCACAGGCAGGTCACTATTCAAAATTTAGCACCAAACGCCACGAGTTAATATTCGCCCCTTTTCTTTGGAATGTTCTATTAAATACGTGTGATAGCTTCAATGAAATTAAGAAAAGAACGTTTTTATAGCCTAAGATTCGAGGTTTAGAAAGTATATTTAACATATTTTTTACAAATTACATATTGTATATATGCATGTAACACTAAAGCGGTGAAACGGTTATGAATTTTTTTCAATTTCCTGTTTATACCAAAGTGAACTATCCCGATTAGTTAATCGAAAAAGGTTGAAACGTTTCGCCGAAAAACATGGCTCGCCCTACGACGGTCAAGGAATCAGATATCATTTATGCTAAATAACTTGAATCAGATCTTTGAGACAAGAATGCTCAAATAAACTCCATGAAGCGATCTTTAAAAAAAATCCTTTTTTTTATTTTTGTATTATTTATTAGTTTAATATGACACAAGTGTGCAGAAAAACCAAGTGGGTAAGATATATACTGACAATATTAATTGATATTCTTTTTTGAGAAAGTATTACTTCTAAGTATGATTTAAGATCTGTTTTTCCGTAATGCACAAAAGATATTAGGTATCGAATTTCATTTGCACATTTAGTCTTTTCTTTCTCTACTTTGAAAACCAGCCTAAACCAATTATAGAAGACGTTAGTTTGACACAGAACTGCAACGTAAGTATGACGTGACATTCCAAGTATTCCTTTACATTTCATTTATTCTTATGTTACTTTTGTTCAAGCAAACGCTCGGCTGACTCCATAAACCACTATTGCGAAATGTCGGCGTTGGCTGAGACAGTCGCCATTTTGGACCCGCTTCAGATTTTTGAATGCTAATATCTAGAGTATAGATTTATCAACATTCAAACAAATTAGATAATAAGCATTATGGGAAGATTTCTATTAATATACCAAAAATAAATGAAAAATACTGAAAAACAAAAAAAAAATTTTAAAATTTGAATCTCGTAACGACCGGAAGTACTGACGACGCACGAAAAGGTGATTCTGCAAACCAGAAAGTCGTGATCTATTATCCAAATAAGTCTCCAGTTCATATCCCTAGCCATATTCGATAAAAGTGCGCGACATTATCGCATTTTAAAATCAGGAAATTGTCTATAACTTGGCACCAGAAGCGAATTTTCCAAATTTTTCTTCGGATGTAACAACTTCATATAATGACACATATTTTGTGAAAGTTTCATGAGAAACCGCTGAATAGTTTTCGAGAAATCGCGTGCACAAAATTTTTGTCAAAAAAAAGAATAATAATAAGAAACAGTAAAATCACTATAAGGTCTTCCGTGAAGACGGAAGACCTTGATAAGATGAATGATTAGTTTATTTATTAATTTTGTATTTTTAAAGTCATTTATTTTACTTAATTTCCACTTACCACTTCACCTTGTTTATTTTGTGCCGTGTCTACTATGCAGCTCTGCATTTGTCAAGAAATAGATCGATTTGTTTTTACAAGATTAATTTCATGCCGTTAATTAATTTTATTAATTTTTTCAACGAAAATCAATCAATTTTAAATACTACAATTTTCCAAAATGCAGCATTACCCCTATTAATTTTTCAGAGCTATTTCAGAATTATGACAGAACTCAATAAGTCTCTTAACAAATAAAAAATATAACTTTGTGTTTGTAATTTGTTAAAAAATTTCTCAGGTAAATAAGTAAATGTACTTAATTGATAATCCAACATCTTAGGTAACAGCACAATGCTCTGGGAGTATGTAAACTTCTTCTTTTTGCTTCAATGTACATATACAGGGGCGTACTGGGGCATGTACTGGGGTTTACCGTAGTTGTCTGTAGGAAACAGTAGCCATACAGTGGCATACTGTATGTAACTGTGGATGCTGTGGATACATACAGTGGAATACAGAAATATACTGTATATACAGAGCTGGCATACCGTAGCATACTGTATATATACCGTAGATTACTGTGAATATGCTGTAGGATACAAAGAATGACAGGGGATTTTCATGCGGACAGGGGTTTTAAAAGCCAGTAGTGTATGCTATCTAAGAATAGTTTGTTCTATAAATTTTAAATATATAATTTAAAAATTCCAACCTCTTACCAATGAGAATTTCAGTTACAATTGAATTTGTAAAAAGTCAACATGTGGAATTAAGGACGTTTACGGAATATTATAACAAAACATTTGCAGTTTTTTTTTTCAAGTTAATAATCATTCATTGCAGAGATGAATTTGATGGAATACTTGATTTGAATCTTTTCTTTTAAGTTCTTAGTTGAAATACACTGACCTAAGGTTCCCGTGGCAGGTCCTGCAAGAAAGAGTTGATATTTTCCTGTTTCGTCGGAGACAGAGAATCCATCGTACATTTCATAGAGTGTTGTACTATTCTGTAGAGTAATGGACACATACAGGGATGAGTTATTTTCTTTTGTTAATTGATGTATAACGTCATTTCCTGCATAAAGAAATATTTTGAAATCAGCTGTAAAATCTTTTGCAATACAAAAATTCTATTAATACGAAATATTCATTCATGAATTTTTTTTCTAAGGTGTAGATATTCATTCTAATTGTAGCTTCATTAAGACCATGCCAAAAAGCGATTTTTACCTCTTGATTTCATTATTTTCCTATTTAAGATAACAATTAAACACAATAAGTGAATATTTACAAAACATATTATCCTGTCCTAAAATCGAAAGTATCTTCGATACGGTTTCATATATTTTTATCTGCCCCCCCCCCCCCAAAAAAAAAACCATATTGCTGAATTTTGAAGCGTCTAAAAGTTCCTATTTAAAATATACTTACACTTACCAATCCAGAAATCCTGTTCTGGGGCACCAAAACCATTTTTATATGCCGTCCAATCTTTGTCAAAACTGAGGGATCCATTGACACGTTTTTGGATTGCCTTTAAAAGTAAGCAATTATAGCCTCACAAAGCTGTCATGTTTTATCAAGACACAAATTACAGTGCAAAAAGGTCACATTAAATTTACTGTAGCGCCAAAATAAGCATAGTGAACGCATTTTGTGATTTGTTTTTTAATTAAGGTATGTGAGTAGAAACTACAAATATTCTTGACAAACAACCTTTACGACTTTAAATATCAGGAGCCAAGCTCGTTAAATAACTCACTATACAGTATTAAATTAATTACATACCGTCCACCCACCGCCCATTGTCGTCATGTCACAGTAAACACGGACAGGACTGGTCATGGTGCCATAGGGATATATTTCATACACCCCTGAGTTAATGTGTCCATCTGATTGTAGATCCTTACAGTCTTTTGGAATAACTAAGGCAAGAAAAATATAAAATTTACAGAAATAACTACAAACACAATGCTAAAATCATACTATGTATATACAGGTAGTGAGAGGATACATTATACCTGGAATAAGGATTTAGATTATCTGTTATTTGTTCAGGTAAAGATGTTAACTATAATTTAGAATTTGTTCAACTATTACTGTACAAAAAAAGTTAAATTTTTAAACTAAAATTTCTTTAAAAATTACCAGGCGGCATAGAATGACCAGAAGTCCTTGTAGCAGTGTTCCTATCTTTGCTACAGTACAGATATATGTACTACTTCAAAAACACCCGTTTTTTTCAGTCAGTGTCAATTACAAACAATAATTTTCAAATGGTTGAAAAAAGATGCACTGTTATTAATTTAAATTGAATTTTATTTCTGTATTGTGTCATGGTTTAAGCTCCGAACTTTTTTATTAGTATTTTCTTTAATAGAAGAAGTAGACATTTATCAAAGATAATATCAACGGAAATGGAAAAAAGACAAAAGTAGAAAATTTCAAATTCATTAGTTATTCAGAAAAATGTAGTTAGAAGACAGGACTATAATTTACAATAATAAACGATGGAAAAAAAACCATTAGATTATTTCACATGTAACATCTCAAAAAAGTATTATTTCAATAAAAAATAGTACTCTACATAGTAATGAATAATCAAGAAGTTCCTCAAAAATGCTGTTTGAAAATAAAATAATGATTTTGAGACTCTTGGGAAAGAAAAAATATACGTACAGTTATGTGAGTAGTATCTCCAGCCACCCTCATTAGACAATCCCGACGTGAAAATCTTCTTGTGGGTACGACATTTCTTCATCTGAGGATTAAACCCATAGAAACTACACTCTCTTTGACAGCGGGCTGCACATTCTCTAACTGATGTAGAGTTGTGTTCTCCTACAAGTTCGTCATTTGATTTCTTATCATCCATTTCAGGTTTTGCAATATATTTTCGCGAAATAATGGTAGATTGAGACACCGCAAAGATTACAAACATTAAATAGATAGCCCAAAGATCTCCCATATTGTAATTTGTATTTAAAGCTACCTTCTGCGTACCTTTAAGAGTTTGCAATATGGCATACCAAACACTTAATTATAAAAGGCAAAGCATATATCAGTTATTTAAAAGTGATTGGCTAACTGTTACGTTATCCGTTTGTTTCAGTCATTTAAATATTGATTTGTTGAATCTTATATAAATTACCAAACACATTTACGTTGTAACTATAATTTCAAATATTAAAATGAATGTTCGCATTGCAGAAAGACATATTTCATAACTATAGCAGATCTTATATTAAGTCACTGTTTTGCGTTTAAGAAATCTTTTTGTTATTAATGAAATTTTCAAATAATATGTTCTTCATTGGATTGCTGTTTCTTTTTCTTGATAACATTAGTAGTAAGTTATTTTAAGATCAAAGGAACTTTTATCTTACAAGGACATTTTGAATTTCTTCTAATGCTTAAAATTTTGTATTTGATTTTTAGCCTTTAACAATAATTAACAAAGCATCATTGTTAAAGCTGAAAAAGGGTGCAGGGTCTAATTTATACAGAAATGTACACTGTGATATCACACTAATATAGATTTTCCTCGTAATACCAGAAAAAGACACAATTTGTTACTTTAAGGACAGATGATACAAACAAAAACAAATGCCAAAACTGGTATATATTTGTTGGCCTAACTTCATTCAAATGATGAAAATAATAAATTTCTAAATATAAGAAATTCCCTAACAAAAAAATACTATAGTTAACTATAGTTAACTATAGTTTACTATAGTTAACTATAGTAAATCAAAGTCTCAAAGATTTCGTCAAAGTTTTTCAAAGTGTCAAAGTTTTCGTCAAAGTTTTTCAAAGTGTCAAAGTTTTCGCCAAAGTTTTTCAAAGTGTCAAAGTTTTCACCAAAGTTTTTCAAAGTGTCAAACTTTTCGCCAAAGTTTTTCAAAGTGTCAAAGTTTTCGTCAAAGTTTTTCAAAGTGTCAAAGTTTTCGTCAAAGTTTTTCAAAGTGTCAAAGTTTTTCGCCAAAGTTTTTCAAAGTGTCAAAGTTTTCGTCAAAGTTTTTCAAAGTGTCAAACTTTTCGTCAAAGTTTTTCAAAGTGTCAAAGTTTTCGTCAAAGTTTTTCAAAGTGTCAAAGTTTTTCGCCAAAGTTTTTCAAAGTGTCAAAGTTTTCGCCAAAGTTTTTCAAAGTGTCAAAGTTTTCGCCAAAGTTTTTCAAAGTGTCAAAGTTTTCACCAAAGTTTTTCAAAGTGTCAAAGTTTTTGTCAAAGTTTTTCAAAGTGTCAAAGTTTTCGCCAAAGTTTTTCAAAGTGTCAACGTTTTCGCAAAAGTTTTTCAAAGTGTCAAAGTTTTCGTCAAAGTTCTTCAAAGTATCAGAATTTTTGATAAAGTTTTTCAAACTATCAAACTTTTGGATAAAGTTTTTCAAAGTATCCCAAGTTTTCGATAAAGTTTTTAAAATTTTCAAAGTTTTCGATAAAGTTTTTTAAAGTGTCAAAGTTGGCGATTAAGTTTTTCTATGTGTTAAAGTATCCAAGTTTTCGATAAAGTTTTTTAAATTTTCAAAGTTTTCGATAAAGTTTTTTAAATTTTCAAAGTTTTCGATAAAGTTTTTAAAGTGTCAAAGTTTTTTATAAAGTTTTTCGAAGTGTTAAAGTATATCCAAGTTTTCGACAAAGTTTTTCAAAGTGTTAATTTTTTGATAAAGTTTTTCAAAGTATCCAAGTTTTCGATTAAGTTTTACAAAAGATCAGAGACTTCGATAATGTTTTTCAAAGTGTCAAAGTTTTCAATAAAGTTTCTCGAAGAATAAAAGTTTTATAAAGTTTTTTAAAGTGTCAAAGTTTTCAATAAACTTTTTCAAAGTTTTTAAGCATCCAAGTTTTAGATAAAGTTTTTCGAAGTATCCAAGTTTTCGATTAAGTTTTTCGAAGTATCCAAGTTTTTGATAAAGTTTTTCAAAGTATCAAAGTTTTCGCCAAAGTTTTTCAAAGTGTCAAAGTTTTCGCCAAAGTTTTTCAAAGTGTCAAAGTTTTCACCAAAGTTTTTCAAAGTATCAAAGTTTTCGTCAAAGTTTTTCAAAGTGTCAAAGTTTTCGCCAAAGTTTTTCAAAGTGTCAAAGTTTTCGCCAAAGTTTTTCAAAGTGTCAAAGTTTTCGCCAAAGTTTTTCAAAGTGTCAAAGTTTTCGCCAAAGTTTTTCAAAGTGTCAAACTTTTCGCCAAAGTTTTTCAAAGTGTCAAACTTTTCGCCAAAGTTTTTCAAAGTGTCAAAGTTTTCGTCAAAGTTTTTCAAAGTGTCAAAGTTTTTCGCCAAAGTTTTTCAAAGTGTCAAAGTTTTCGTCAAAGTTTTTCAAAGTGTCAAACTTTTCGCCAAAGTTTTTCAAAGTGTCAAAGTTTTCGTCAAAGTTTTTCAAAGTGTCAAAGTTTTTGTCAAAGTTTTTCAAAGTGTCAAAGTTTTTCGCCAAAGTTTTTCAAAGTGTCAAAGTTTTCGTCAAAGTTTTTCAAAGTGTCAAAGTTTTCGTCAAAGTTTTTCAAAGTGTCAAAGTTTTCGTCAAAGTTTTTCAAAGTGTCAAAGTTTTTCGCCAAAGTTTTTCAAAGTGTCAAAGTTTTCGCCAAAGTTTTTCAAAGTGTCAAAGTTTTCGCCAAAGTTTTTCAAAGTGTCGAAGTTTTCACCAAAGTTTTTCAAAGTGTCAAAGTTTTTGTCAAAGTTTTTCAAAGTGTCAAAGTTTTCGCCAAAGTTTTTCAAAGTGTCAACGTTTTCGCAAAAGTTTTTCAAAGTGTCAAAGTTTTCGCCAAAGTTCTTCAAAGTATCAGAATTTTTGATAAAGTTTTTCAAACTATCAAACTTTTGGATAAAGTTTTTCAAAGTATCCCAAGTTTTCGATAAAGTTTTTAAAATTTTCAAAGTTTTCGATAAAGTTTTTTAAAGTGTCAAAGTTGGCGATTAAGTTTTTCTATGTGTTAAAGTATCCAAGTTTTCGATAAAGTTTTTTAAATTTTCAAAGTTTTCGATAAAGTTTTTTCAAAGTTTTCGATAAAGTTTTTAAAGTGTCAAAGTTTTTGATAAAGTTTTTCGAAGTGTTAAAGTATATCCAAGTTTTCGACAAAGTTTTTCAAAGTGTTAATTTTTTGATAAAGTTTTTCAAAGTATCCAAGTTTTCGATTAAGTTTTACAAAAGATCAGAGACTTCGATAATGTTTTTCAAAGTGTCAAAGTTTTCAATAAAGTTTCTCGAAGAATAAAAGTTTTATAAAGTTTTTTAAAGTGTCAAAGTTTTCAATAAACTTTTTCAAAGTTTTTAAGCATCCAAGTTTTCGATAAAGTTTTTCGAAGTATCCAAGTTTTCGATTAAGTTTTTCGAAGTATCCAAGTTTTTGATAAAGTTTTTCAAAGTATCAAAGTTTTAGATAAAGTTTTTTGAAGTGTCAAAGTTTTTCAAAGTATCAAAGTTTTCGCCAAAGGTTATCAAAGTGTCAAAGTTTTCACCAAAGTTTTTCAAAGTATCAAAGTTTTCGTCAAAGTTTTTCAAAGTGTCAAAGTTTTCGCCAAAGTTTTTCAAAGTGTCAAAGTTTTCGCCAAAGTTTTTCAAAGTGTCAAAGTTTTCGCCAAAGTTTTTCAAAGTGTCAAGCTTTTCGCCAAAGTTTTTCAAAGTGTCAAACTTTTCGCCAAAGTTTTTCAAAGTGTCAAAGTTTTCGCCAAAGTTTTTCAAAGTGTCAAAGTTATCACTATAGTGAATCAAAGTTTTCAAAGTGTCAAAGTTATCACTATAGTTAACTATAGTAAACTATAGTTAACTATAGTTAACTATAGTATTTTTTGTTAGGGTTGTAACCTTCAATGATGTTTTGTCTCTTCCAAACATCATTTATAATCAATAAAACAATTCGTATAAAATTTTTTTTTTTTAAAATAGTGGTATAACCTAATCATTTAACGCATTAAAACATGACTCTATTTTTTTTTTTTTTTTAAAGATAAGGCTATTATTACCAATGTAAAATCTTTGTTTAGTTCGATCATTCAATAATTATCAAGAGGATGTATTTAATGAATTTTACCGTGATTCTGTGTACAGGTTTGACCTCGAGATGTCCTATTAAATCACCTTTCTGCAAGAGTATTCAGGTAATAAATTTTTACCATTGTTACAGATAAAAAAAGGATATTTTCCTTAACTTGAAATGTATTGCTATTATCGTTAAATCGAAAGCGAGACTTTAAAAGTACATAAAATACTTGGTAATGGTCAAACATATTTCTTCATTAGCCTATTTACCTGGAATTTAACCAAAAAAAAATCAACATTTTATTTAAAGCAGCAACACTTTCCAGAAAGTACAAAGTATGCAAAAACAATCAATAGCTTATATCTTTGATTTCCACTAGGATATGCCCTTTGGCTTTATAAAATTGTTATTGACCGACATATAGTATATATATACTATGTGTTTATCACGTAATTGTCCATTGATGGGACCAAACTTAATTCAGTACAGAGTGGGTTATACTATGTTATTTCAGAGACATATAATAGAGGGACCGCTGACTCAAATTATCTTCATGTTTTCGGAGCGCCCTCACCGGAAGGCATAGAAAGACTTCCGGTCGTATTAGCTGCTGTGTCTTCTTAGCAGACTTTAGGGTAAATATTGCTAATATATTGTATATTTTATTACTTATAGCCTGTACGTCAATAATAATTTTAAAAAGGTGGATATCTATGATGTATTTTTGCAGCTATAACGAGAAATTAAAAAAATAACACATAGAACTTGAGACCATGCATCAAGATGTTTACAGCATGTCGTTGTGGGTACAATATTATTAAATCTGAATAAAAAATTTCTCTTGTTGAAAAGTTGGTCATTTTATCTTCATAAACATTGTAGACTCAGGCCCATAAGAACCGGTGAGCAAG